AAGCAGACGCGGTTAAATATAGTGAGGTAACTGCAGCAATAATGGAGGAGATCAATGCTAATGAAGACACAGAGGAGGTAAATCAGTGTATAAGAGCAGTCGATCACAGGAGCACGAGGAAAACAGCCTTCAGTGACGGACAGATGAAGAGGAGGAGTAATTAAAGACAGAAACACAGAGCATTTACACCACTCTTCATCTGCAAGACTTCATTAGCTGGAGAAAGACATCAGCCTGGGTAGAAGAAGAGTTAAAACAGCAGAAAGAGAAGATTGGAGAAGGTTCTGCAGAACAGCGGCTGGAGGACGGATGCGCATAAGGTTTGAGGTATGGTGAGGAGAATTATTGGCATTAGAGAGAATATATTCAGTCAACATTAAAGAGCATCTATATGCAACAATCACTTTAATAAAATACATTCAGTCTCCATTTGCAGCGCTGAAATGGTACTTTTCTGCATCCCTAAAATAAAAAAGGTGATTTATTGCACTCTCTGTGATATGAATATTGCATATACTATTATCACATTAATGATGTTTGTCCATATATTTTTTGCAGCCTAACACAAACACATTAAACCACTATTGTAAACACTGAGACAGAGCTGATGAAGTGTGTGTTCTGCATGTAATATCTTAATTTAACACACACGCACGCACGCACACACACACACACACACGCACACACACACACACACACACACACACACACACACACACACACACAGATTCTGTTGTGTTGTGTTATGGTGTCTCCACAGCTGTACTGGTGTTTCTCCTGTACACGCTGTATATTCTCTCCCTGTTAACAGCTCTTATGTAATGTGTGAGCGGTTTATCTCTGGGTGAAAGATGATCTGTCCTGAGATAACCCGAGATCAATGTGTGTGTGTGTGTGTGTGTGTGTGTTCCTGTCACTCAGAGTACAGTAAAGTGAAGCGTCACACACAGAAAAACACACTTCTGAGAAAGAGCAGTCTCTGACCGAGGTAAAGTCCAGCTGATGAACTGAACATGTGTTAGAGCAAATACAACACAAGAGCACTTATTTAACACATGATCAATAATATATATATAAATATAAATAAATAAATGTATATGTATGTATATATATTCAGAGTTTTTGTCTTGCTTCTAGTCCAAATATCTAAATATTCTTATATCTAGAAGCATTTTCTAGGTAAGCAGAACATATTGTCTTCTTTTAAGAAATGATGAGTCAATATTAAGGAAGTTTTTCCAAAACTTACATACAAACATAATCTTGTTTTTCCCTTTTGACATGAGATTATTCTGCTCGTTTAAAAGAAAAACTCACTTAAATGTGGCATTTTGTTTCTTGAAACAAGACAATATGTTTTCCTCGTCTAGAAAATTCTTGATTTAAAAATGTTAAGATATTTGGACTAGAAACAAGAGAGAATATCTAAGTAATAAATTTTTTTTGCAGTACATCATAGCAAAGATAAAAAAACAACCAGTTAATAAAAATGAGTTATTAAATTATTATGATTGGAAATGTGTTGAAAAAATCTAATCTTCTCTCCAACAGAAGCTGAAAAATGATTGAGGGGGCTAATAACTCTGACTTTAACTGTATATGACAGTGCAATATGAGCATGTAGTGCTAATATAACATTAGTATATTTTAAATCTTATTGTAGTTCAGCATTTGAGTCTTCATCTGATTTCACATTTAACTCGGTAACAGTTGCATGATGTTGGTTTGTTATTGAAATTTCTAAATAAAAAGTGTTTTAATTCATTGTTAACACTTCCTGTTGGTTTATTTTTGCTTACAGTTCAGTTCTTTCACTTTTCAAGCTTGTGTTAAATTGCAAAAAATTGTTTTTAATGTTTTTAATACGATAATATAAGATAATAATAAACAATTATATAAAAACACATGCATTGCCTGTTCTTATGATTCAGAAGATATAATTGAGCTTGACTGCTTATTAATATTAATCATGCTCCATCTCCTTTATCAATGAATACATCTAAATAAAGATATTTAATCTGCAAATACCAGAAGGAATACAAGTAGAAAGATGAAGGGCTGCATTTATGGATGATGCTGTGTCTAGTTGTAGCTAAAAATATTTATATTTATTTAATCTTGTTTCTGGCCAATCAGGTGAGACCGTTTCTGTTCAGCCTATCACAGGTGAGCAGAATCATGTCTTAAAAAATGGGAAAATAGAAAATTACAACGCAACGCTCCTGCAACATTCACACAACGCTCCTGCAACATTCACACAACGCTGCTGCAACATTCACACAACGCTCCTGCAACATTCACACAACGCTCCTGCAACATTCACACAACGCTCCTGCAACATTCACACAAATGTTCACTGATTATGGCGTCAGCAGTATCAAAAGAGACCAGAAATGAAAGCTGTTCTGTGGTAAATGCTGTCAGTCACACACACACACACACACACACACACACACACACACACACACAAACAGCATTGATTTTCCTCATGTGTGGCTATTAATACAGTCAATGTGATGCGATTAGAGAAACACCGCTCCTATAAGACACACACACACACACACACACACACACACACTGAGGTGCGAGGTTTAGCGATCCTGAGCAAAACATTTACTGGAATCTGCCATAAACACTTTATGATGATCAGCATATCTATAACACACATACACACACACACACACACACACACACACACACACACACACACACACACGCACGCACACACCTACACACACACACTTTTTCTCTCACACACACACACACACACACACACAAACATACTTCTTCACTCACTCTCACACACTTGTTTTTTCCTCCTGATATGATCTGGTGTGGTTCTGCTCAGTTCCGTCAGTCACACACAGCTGAGTATATCAGGAGAAACTCTGACTTACCACCGGTGTGTCTGCGTCTCTCTCCGTGTGTGTGTGTGTGTGTGTGTGTGTGTGTGTGTGTGTGTGTGTGTGTGTGTGGAATCTGTAAATCTGCTCTGTCAGTCTCTCACATGAGTCTCATTACAGTAATTCACTTCACATCCGTCCTGATCTCCATCCAGGACTCAAGCCTCTGCAGAAACACACCAGTAAAGCACACCAAACCCTCTGAAACCAAGGAAAAGCCAGCAGAGACCCTCACAACACACTCAGAACCTGCTGATGATTTCCTCAGTCCAGGTAAAGCCACACCTGAAGTCATAGTTTAATATTTAATAGAGAATGTGGAAAACTCTTCATTTCTGCGTTTACTCCTTATAATTAATAAAACACAATGGTCTATTAGCTAATGCTTACTAACATAAATAATTAGCGACACATTTATGATATGTATTCACCTTCACTAATGTTATTCAAGTTAAATGTGAACTCGCCGTGCATTATCTAATGTCAACAAGTACAACCTTGAACTTTAATAATACATAAATGCTGAAATATGATTTATAAACACTTTACAAAATTAGTTCTACTTAGGTAATGCTAGTAAATACCCTAATGGACTGAATGCATTACATCAAATAAATTATATGAAAGTGTTAGCAAAAAATAAAAATAACTTTAAATCATAAATCCCACCATAAGCTAATTGTTTGTATTTATCTGATGAAAATAGACACAAAACACTGAATAAAACATGAATATTTCTCTGAATTTGCTTCCCAAACATAAAGAAAACATTTTGACAACATTAAGCATTCGCTTCAGATGAAAAAGTAATCAGTGTTTCTCTCAATAAAAGTAGAGCTATATTATATTTACCAAAATAAAATAGAAAAGGCTGATCTGAGTAAAAAGACAAATGCAGTTAGATGACACTGGTATAATTGAATATATAGACTAGGACTAACGGCTGGCTGACTAACCATGGACTACTCATGTTTTGGGCACACTGACATTCATTTAACCCAAAATCTACAACGAATGCCATGGGTAAACTACAAAACAATTGTTTTATTGACCTGTAAAGACCAGCAGAGGAGTAATAGCGCCCTCTGTCGATCAGTGATAAGTAAATTAAAGAGTAAATAACAGCTTTTGTACAATCTATAACAGTCACTAGTCTAATAAACATCTAATAACGTCTTACCTCTTCCAGTCCTCATGGTGGCCATCTTTGTTCAGTTGCTGCTGGTAAACATGTCCAACAGTCAGTTTTTCGGATCTCTATTGACACTTGATGTGGGTACTGTTAGAGCGCTGTTAATTACAATCAAGTTATTAATCATATCGACTCGTATTATTCAGTCAGTTTAAGCAAACGACAATGAGGTGTTTACCGCGCCCGCCACATTCTCGCGCTCTTTTTTCCCGCTTTTTCAGCTGCAGGTGAACGCGCGTCATGCTTACGTCAATACACACAGTATTATAGTAAAGATAAATCTATTAATAATACTAATAAATTAATAATACTCTACTGCTGTAGAAGTAACAAGGGTTTATCTAGCAGATTCTGCTATTTCTGTTTTAAAATAAACTTGACCCAGATAAAATAAATCTGACCCAAACAACTGCTTGTTTTTGTTTTAAAGAGATAGTTTTAAAAAACATGAAACTTCTGTCATCATTTACAGACCCTTCACTTAATCTAAACTGGTTTAATAAAAAAAAAAAACACTTTGAAGAATGCTGAAAAACAAATCGCTATTGATTTCAGTCATAGGCTATATTGTTTTTCCTATAATGGAGGTTTCCAACTCTTCAGAATATCTGCTTCCGTGTCTACATCAGCAGAGTGACGAAACTCAAGGACTTCACACCAACTGAGGAGAAGATTCAACATTTTTTAGGACAAATTATTCCTAAAACATTTAATTTAAATACAGCTGTTCTCCAGAAAACACGATTAAAAAGTAAATCCTACTCTCTAGAAAACTGCGGCTGAGTAAATCATGTTGAGGTGCTGTTCAAGAAACAAGAAACGACACGCGAGGAAGACGATGTTTCCCTTCAAAGTGTTTTCAGTGAGGAGCGCTCGTCTGTGTAAATCAGCAGCAGGAGCACGAGTGCATAAAAAGTGTTTTATTCTCATTATTAATATAATCATCAATCACATCCACCCAATGAAACATTAACCAGAGACATCCAATCAACAATACAGTAAATGAACATGATAGGGGTAGAAGAGAGCCCAATACTGCCAGACGAACGCCTGCAACTCTGTCTCACACACACACACACACACGCACACACACACGCACACACAGCACACACACACTCACACACACATTATTGCTCCCTGTGGCCTCAGGAACGCTGAGCTCTGCTTCTGGAATGTCACGCGTGTGTCGTCTGGATGTGTGCGTGTATATATGTGTATATGTATATGTATGTGTGCGTGTGTGTGTGTGTGTGTGTGTGTGTGTGTGATTGTTGCGCTTGTTTTCCTGCGAGAGCGTCTGAGCTGTTGAGGAGGAGAGTGGAACATCAGACAGGAGGAGGAGATTCTCAGATTTTCAGAGTCCACTGTTTAATGCAGGCGTCGTGAGATGTGGTGACGAGTGTGTTGGGGTTCAGCCAGGCCAGACCGCTGACGTGATGCAGCCGGTGACAATCTGCACACACACACACACACACAAACAAATGAACAATGAATACACACTCACACACAAATAAACAAAGACACACAAATAGAACAACAAACACACACAAAAATCAAACACACAAAGAAATTCACACACAAAAAAAAAAAAAAAACACAAATCAAACACACACACACACTGCTCACCTGGCAGCTTGATCCTCTTCTCAGTGTCGCTGGCTGTCCACACGTACACCATCATGTCCATCCCGCTGGTGGCGAAGTGCTCATTATCTGGAGACCAGGACAGACACACCACCTTCGCATGATGCCCGTAGAACTCGCTCTTCTCCTGCAAACACACACACACACACACACACACACACACACACACACACACTCTCTCTCTCTCTCTCTCTC